GTAGTTCCCTCTGCACCACTGTATATAACATAGTATATTCCACATTACTTTAAACTTCTTGGCACTGTTCCCTGTTCATCTGGTATAAGTGCATTTGAATTTAATAAGACAATTAATTAATCTAATAAGAGGAATCATGAGTTTATTTCACACTTCACATGACTGTATAAATAGATTTATGAGAATGTTATCAAATCATTTCAAATATTTGACCTACATGTTGAGTACACAATTGTACACTTGAACATCCACAAAGTGACAAACAAGGTCCTAATACTACCCTGAAAGCCACACAAAGGCCCAGTGAGACCTACAGATGTCATTCATATTAGTGACTTGGTCACTCTTTAAAGACATTTCAGAATATTTGAAATTGTTTTAGAAAAAATAACTGAAGTAAGAATTATGCAAAGATTGACTGTGTAAGGTAAGATCTGGAGAAAACACTCAGAGATACTGCCATCCTCTCTTTCTTTCTGCCACACCGGCATTATCTGCAGCACCCAGACCTCAATGCCCCACTGCCAGCCAGGCCCTGCTGTGTCTCTGGGGGCCCTCAGACTTATCAGGCATTCTGCTGGGATACTGCTGCAGCAGGACGATGCAATGAGGCCACTGTGTGTGTGTGTGTGTGTGTATGTGTGTGTGGATCAGGTCAGTGTGGGGGGCCAGCAGTGAGTCCAAAGCGAACCTGAATGAATTTCCCTCTGTGCTGGGCTCAGGCAGCGGCAGACACAGACCACACACTGTCAGGGAAGTCGCGCTGTAAAACTGAGTTTGGGGTTCGCACTGTGGGAACCATGCAGGGAGGATTCAGAGCAGCGGTGTCTGCATGTTTGAAGATAGGAGGATTCACCGAACACGGAATGTAAGCAAATCATGAAATCGTGTGAATGGATTTGAACTGATTTTTTTTTTTCTTTGTCTTTAAAGATGTCTGAAGCATGACTGGACACATGGGCAGAGGGAGAAAGGGGATAAGATGAGACACAACCTTCAATGTTGTGTTCACCCAGTATGCCTTGGTCACCAAGATGCCTCTCATTCAACTGCTTTTAAAGGCCCTGCCCTGTTTTCAGTAATTGCCTGAATACAAATGTCCATCCTCCAGACTGGCGGACTGAGCCGTCACAAACTTCAGTTGTATGCACTGTGATGTGTTTACTGGCATCACATAAAGTGATGCCCTCATATTCCTCACACAAGTTGATGAATAGCGTCTGCTCATATGATCTGTCTCTGCAGATAACAAGAACTATTAGTCCCATATATAGGCTCTTTGTGAGGGATAAAAGTCACATTCACACACACACACATACACACACACGCATTCAAATACAGAAATGTTTGTGATTAATGACCAGACTATGACTAAATAAATTTGGTATTACTTTCAATGGAAGAGCTTCTTCTGTTTTTCAGTCATTTGTTAGCTTATATATTTGGCACCACACTGCATAGCTTTTATACGGTAGGCTATAACAATATAATGTATTTTGACTACTTCTATAGACTACTTCTACATGTTTGTGTATCATGATGTGGTTGAATATTATTTCTGACCTACATGATTTAAGTAAATCACAATATCGCATCTATATTGCAATGAACTATAGGTAATTAAATCAGTGACATCTATACCCCCAGCAGACTTTCTTGAAGTCTGCAGAAAGACCACCTGAGGTCCCTTGTGGACTGGATGAATTGTAGATTTGGATGGCCCTCAGCACTTGCAGACTTCCCGGGAACACGCCTAAAAAGTCTGCGAGTGCGATGAAGTCTGGAAATTTGAATTCATCCACTGTGGCTGATTAGACCTCTGCTCAGGTTGAAAGTGGGCTGGAGTTTCGATGGAAATTACTTGAGGTCTCTCATTCTACCATTTGGAATGATGAAGGTGTAATCTGTCTCGCCCTGACAGATGCAACAAAGCTTACTGAAGACTCAGGAAGATGTTAATCAATTACAGTTTATACACACCCACACAGTCATGAGAAGAGGTCTAATCAGGAAAAAATATTAAAATCACCTGTGTGGGTGTGTAGGGTCTTTAATCGGAACCAGTAACTGCTTGCTGATGCCTATCAGACACTTGAGCCACAAAGTCTCATATCCATCATTCTCTCTCTCCCTGTTTGCATCTCTGTTGTCAAAATAAAAAAAAAGTCCTTTGTGCATTCCCTCTGCCTCTCTTGTTTTCTCTCTATCTCTTTCTTCACATGTCAGAGTCGTACTGTCTTACAGTCGGACCTTGCTGACATGCAGCTTCTGCTGCTGTTAAAAATGGAAACGACACAGAAAGTGTTTGGTCTGGGACTTTTGATGGCCAACATTTATCACTCTGATATGACCACAGCCAGTAGCTGTTGGTGTGTGGAGTATGAGCAAATGTGTGCCTACACATGTCCGTGTAGTCATATTCTACAAATTCCCTTTGGAAATGTGTGCTTTAACAGTGCATCTGTTATGATAGATGTCTTTTTCTACTTATCCATTGAGGCAAGTCATCCGGCTATATTAGGTAATGTAGACGCTCATATTTGTATCATTGATATCAGGTGACAACCTCATACATCTAGAGTGTCAACTGCTTTATCATTTTGTCCTAAACACGGCCAAAAACGTATTTTGTTAGGTCATGTTGACCATGACCTTTGACCTTCAACCACACAATTCTCTTCAGTTTAGTCATCAGTCCAAGTGGATGTTTGTGTCAAATTGAAAGAAATTCCCTTAAGGTGTTGTTGAGATATCACGTTCACAAGAATGAGACAAATGCAAGGTCACAATGACCTTGACCTTTAACAACCAAAATCCATCAGTGCATTGTTGAGTCAAAGTGAACATTTGTACCAAATTTGGAAAAATATAATCCCTCAAGCTGTTCTTGAGACATCACCTTCATGAGGATAAGATGAATGCAAAGTCACTGCGACCTTGACCTTTGACACTTGACCACTGAAATCTAATAGGTTATCCTTGAGTCCAAGTTAACCTTAGTGGCAAATGTGAAGAAATTCCCTCAAGGCGTTTTTTAGATATTACATTCACAAAAATGAGACAAACAAGGTCACAGTGACCTTGACCTTTGACCTATGGCCACAAAACTCTAATCAGTTCATCATTAAATCCAACTGTACATTTATGCCAAATTTGAAGAAATTCCCTTTAAGTGTTCTTGAAATATCGTGCAGACGGACAGATAGACTGACAAGCCGAAAAAACATAATGCCTGCAGCCACGGCTATCCCTGTTATGGAAGCATAAAACTCAGCAAAAGTGGATTAGAAGAACTAAAGTTGAGGAACAGACAGCAAGCAGAAAGTCCAAGTTATTCCCTTAATACAGTGCTGCAAGGCAGAAAAACATGTGCAGTGCCATCATCAAATAATATCTGATATATATACAGTACTTATAACTCTATATGTGTGTTATACATCACCTGGTTTGCCGTAGGGGGATAGGCAGGGAGATACATGAAAATGGGTCGAAGGTGTTGCTCTGCTTAAGGCAATGAGGGCACGTCAGAGAAGACCTGGAGACAGACAGACAAACGGAGAGAGCAATTTTAATCATTTCTGCAGTACATGACCTCAGCTCACCATTCACTCTCAGTTTGATATTCTTGAAATAAATAGTACATATTTTCACTCTCCACAGCCTCTTTTCCCCAATTTTTCCCACTTCACTCGGTTTTTGGTCCATTTTCACCTCAGCCAATCCAGTCACAAAGCCTACATTCGACAACAGCGCTTATCAGAAGACAGCTCTTTTAACTTCACAGGAGTTTATACACAGCGCTGGACAGATGGATCGACAGATATCTACATATATACCTACATGCCAAATCCTCACATTTCCTCTAAAGTATGGAGTTAAAGTGCAGTACAAATTGACTGTCTTATGTGCTGCATGCAGTTAAAACCTCCATGGTGGTTAAATGTGAATATTCCATGTGGACACTGGTGAATACTAAGCACTGAATCAGGCCATCTGGACTCGATCTGCTGTTGAGAAAAGGGCAGCAAAGCAGCAGGGGTGGGATGCTGCTCAGAATTTTAGCACAGAAAGCCCAGAGTTAGGCAGGTGAGATATTGCTGGAAATTAAAAGGGCTGTATCCTAAGCTGGAGAGGAGAGGAGGAGTAGTATGGAGAGAGAAGAAAGCAGAGAGGAAAGGTAAAGGATGAAAGGTGGAGGGGATATAAAGGCAGAGAGGATAGTGGAGAGATGGTAGAGCCGAGAGGAACAAAGATGACTTGAGACTAAAACGAAGGGCAGCAGACACAGCAGAGGTTGGAAAGGCAGAGGAAACAAAAGTGAAGAGCAAAGAGACAGAGATGAAGAGAAAGACAACAAAGTGCGGGGCTCAGTGGGAGGACAGATGAAAAATGAACAGAAGGTTGGCAGCAGGACCGTCGAGTTGACAAAAACTAGAAAGCAAAGCTGATGGAGAAAAAAGACATGGACAGGACCCGTCAAGGTCTTTGAGCCAACGGGTGTGCAGCAGATCAGAGTGGAAGAATGACATGAGGCTAGGAAAAACTGACAATCCCAACCTATGGGCTGCTATCAGCATAAATTTGCAGCCAAACACAGTTTTCAAAGACAGATAGTACTCAGTGACCTCATTATGATCTACGGGAAACACTGTTAAAAGAATTTTCGGGGAATATGCTTCTTTGCTTTCTCATCAAATAAGTTCACTTAAGTTCAAATCAGTTGAGAAGATCAATGCCACTGCTATGACTGTGTGTTAAATATGAAGCAAGAGGAGCCAGTTAGCTTAGCTTAGCTTAGCCTAATGAACTGGAAACAGGGGAACAGCTAGCCTGGCTCTGTCCAAAAGTAACCAAGTCCACTTGTCAGCACCTCCAAAGCTCTCTAACTAACACATTATATATCTAGTTTAATTTATATGAAAAAACTTGTAAAAATTACAATTTGTCACTTTAAAGGGGAATATTCATGGGCTATTTCTTGGCCAGGTGCAGTAACTTCTAACAGTATTTGTATGGATTAAACAAACGATATTTAAGATGTTAATTACTGATCTGTAGTGGTGCTGGTAGGTGGATTTTGTTGCCTTTGGATGGATCTAGGCTAGCTGTTTCCCTCTATTTCCAGTCTCTATGCTAAGCTCAGCTAAGCCAACTGACTGCTGACTGGAGTTTTAGGCCCAGTGTCCACTAACACGTTTACCCAGCTAAAACGCCAGGTGCTCCTCAGGAAACGCCCAGCTGGGAGCGTTTGAAAGCACTTTGGAGGTGCAGCCTTTTTTTAGCTGAGGTGCTTTGGTTGCATCGAGTTGCTATGATACGGACTAAACCCGGAAGTAAACATGTCAGCAAAAGGTAAAGTAGTTGCTCTGGATGAGGGGAGGGCTGAAGCATGCAGGGAGAGAGGACAGCTTTTAGCTTTTTATCTTTATTTGACAGGACAGATTAGGTGTGAAAGGGGGAGTAAGTGGGGATGACATGCAGCAAAAGGCCGTGGGTTGGAATTGAATCCGGATCGCTGCGGCAAGGACACAACCACATGAGCTACTGGGCACCCCCAGCCCCTAATATTTATACACAAACAAAACAGTGGTATTGATCTTCTCATACGGTTCTTGGCAGGAAAGTGAATGAGCATATCTCCCAAAATGTTCAACTATTCCTTTTAGACATAAATGTAGCAAACAGCACAGCCCTAGGCCAACAAGCTCATTTTTGTTGCTCTATGACTTGACTGTGTAAGTGTTACATGACAAACCCAGTAACACTTGACTGTGTAAGTGTTACTGGGTTTGTCAAGTCAGTTATGGAGGTGTTTTACAGCTCTAACCTGTATTTAATTAAGGCCTAATCCCATTTCTTATTTTTACCTCTACCCCTCCAGCGTCCCTTTCCCCTCAGAACAGAGTTACAAAGGATAATGATTAAAATCTTCCTGTTTGACAGTGGTTCTTAAACTGTGGGTTGGGCTCCACTGGGAGGGCACAGAGCCTCTGCAGGTGGATGATCAGGACAAAAATATGGAATGAAAAAAGCTGAATGAATATGATTTATGTAGGGAAAGCAAATAAGGGTTTGTTGATGCTATCAGGCTGGTCTTTATTTCACAAAAATTCAATATGGATCCTTTTTTTATTAGTTGCTTCCCCAGTTATTGTTAACAGTTGATAAAACAAACAAAAAAAAATTGTGGGATGGGGGGGGCGTGAGCTTTTTTTTGCTTCTGAAGGGGGGCGTGACACACAAAGTTTACGACCCACTGCCCTATCAAATGGTAAAACAAGACCCTAGATGAGATGAGACTAAGGCAATAATGACACTATCACATAATTGGAGATAAAAAGCACAGATGCTAGCATTTCATTCACAGCTTAAGTTTCACACAATCAATCAATCAAACAAGTCATCAAATAAAAAAGAAGACTGCTTAATTACCAGGCTACTATCGATTCTCTTCAGGATAACATTAGCAACCCGTGCTTCTGCAGTGGTAATAGACGAGCAGTAACAAATATAGCAACTTTTTTTTTTTTTATTGCTGTACAGGAAGGTAGAAGTACTGAAAGAAGAAAACCTGATTATGAACTATGAAATACAGCAGGGAGAACCTGAAATATCAAATAAGATCAAAGATATTTTTCTATGATTCTAAAATTACAATAACATACTTTAAAATTTAAAAACTGTACTGTAACTATTGTTGTTATCTATCTTTATTTAGCATTGTATAGCAAATGTTTGTTACTGATGTATCACTGGATGACATACCTATTCACATTATTTCTTAAAAAAAGGAAGAAATGTCATCAATACAAGAGCTATTTAATGAGTAAGATACATGAAATGATTAACGGCAATAAAAGTACATAAAAAACAAACAAATGCAGCAGTTTTGCTGCTGGACTTCAGTTAAATTTTAGACATCATATGCCATCACAGTGGGGAATGTCACTAGAAAACATGTCGAAATGTGGTACTGTCATGCACACATCAGCAATAACATTGTAATGTTAACTAGCAGTTAGCTACGAGACATCAGCACACTACTAGTGATTTCTTATGCTTGTCATAGAGTAAAGGACCATAATACATTGAAAGTACATTAAACTAAGATGACCGTTATTGTAATTTTTTAAATATTTCTTAACAAAGAAAATGTTAAAAATATTGCTGATTATTTCTCATAACACTCAGTTTGAAGCATGCTCCTGAAAAACCTCCACATGTAGGGCCATGCAGCTTCAACACTTAGCTCTGCACCTCTATCCAAACAAGAATCAGGACACCCTACCCCTAGAAGTGACCGCACAAAACAGAGGGGTAAGGGCTTAGGGGTAGGGCCAAGATCTGTATTGGTATTAAGCCATAAAGTCAAGTAACATCTGTGTGTTCAGTCTCAAATATTTTCAGTAAGTCCTCAATATGTCTCCACTGCAAAAACTACCAGGAATCCCTCAAAGGATTATGTGATGGAATCAAGCAGTCGTCTGAAACTGCACAGTGTGGGAAGGGCTAAGCAAATACAATAAAATTCAGCTCTGACTACAAATCCACAGTAAGTTTCCAGTTATGCACATTCCTGAGTGAGTAATGCTTCTGCCTTTATCTTAACAAACCGTGAGTGAAACTTCGCCTCGAATAGCCTGCTGTCCTTCCCTAAACTTGACTGTAATCTAGCCTTTTTCATATGGCAGTCAAGTGAAAACACCATGTTCAGTTTGTTCTCGAGTCACATAATCCCCTCATAGTGTTCGAACATAATCCTTTTATTCACGTGAGATCACGTAATGCAATTCAGTGGCTGTGTTGCCTTCCGTGTACTCATTTTGAAGTTTTAGCCAATTTTAAAGCACTGATTCAAACCATTACATTCTCCACTCAAACAATTTCCCTGAGGGAACTTGACAAACATAGCTGAGTTACCCATTTGTCTCCATCAGAGAGAAACCTATTATTATGTATAGGATAATAAGCTTTCAACCGGCTTGAAACTACTGATGCAGCATTAACTGTGGTCATTCCTTAGTAGTTAAGTGTAGTTATATAAAAGCAGTTTGAAAAAGTAAGTGTGGATCTAAGTTGCTGAGTGTTTTAAATGTGACTTCTGTATTGCACCCAAAACTTTAAAGCAGTTTCTTGATACCTGTGTTGATATTTATTTTTGCCACTGTTTGCATTTGATTCTTGAAGGAAAATTAATGCAATTTTGCTGCATAATGCTCTCTTAACACTGACAGCGTCTAGCATGCGTTCATATTTCCTGCGTGCACGCTGCCAGATGCTCGTTTCATCTCCCGGTGTCTCACTATAATTTCTGCCAGCTGAGCTGTATCCAAGTTTGTGGAGATACAAACTTGTCAAATGTACAAATATGCTGGAAATAATATTACACTTCTCAAACTCCACATTTCCTCGCTGTCAGTGTTGTAACCAGCGTGCCGTGGCAGCCAGTCGAGGGCTCGCTAATGATGCCAGTTTGTACTCTGTAAAGCGGACTGACAGGCTGTATTCGCTCACACACACAAACAACGTTCGCAC